TCAGAAAACCATTCTGCACTAGAATTTTACAACTGCTTCATTTAATACAAACATCAGATACACTGGGGAATCTTGTATTTGGATAATTAAAACCCCTTCCCACTTTCCAAGATCTGCCATAAAATTCTCTATTACTGTTGGGAGCATTTAATTTTCAAAATATCAGAGTGGATGTGAAAGAATCTATTAAACACCATGGCACAGGGATAGAAGAGGTGTGGCACACTGATTTCCTAGGTTGGAGCTCCTTCAACATGTCATGCTGATTGAGGTCCATATTCAGAATCAAAGCAAGGAAGAGGGACATTTCTTCACGAGATGCTGGGCTGCCATCACTTTCAGTAGTGTAATACTGACGACAGCAACTGTCCACTGTGACTACCCATGAATGTCTTTATTGAAATCAAAGATGATCACTTTCATAAATATTGGCATGGCATGGCTACCTGCAGTTTCCTCCTATATTCTTATGATCTGGTAAGTTTAATACAAATCCCAAGTATTTTAATGGCCATAGTGGCTGACCATGGTACAAAATGAAATTTAAGTAACACGTAGTGTTGATTTCCTACACTCAATTTCATAAAAATCTGATTAAATGATTGAGAGATGAGACATGCAGACTGATGGATTCTGCATAATGCATTCCTTTTGTGCACTCAATGCAAAAAAATTAAATGACAAGGGACACACCGCAATGTATGTTTGTGATCAACATGCTGTAATGCAGAGAAACCTCATTTTCTCACAAAAGAACTACCCACAACATGCTAGTTCAATTATAGAAAACACATTACACAAAGTAGTGTTCATATTTACTTCTCCCAAGAGACTGCAAGGTTTCACGTACCTCTTCAATCAGGGCTTATTTTCATTATGTCATGCTTCATCAGCATTGTCATCCATACCTTCACTATGTAATGTTTTACCTGCCAGCTGTAACATTGCTTTTGCTTCCAAGTCTCTTTCTCTTATACTTGGGCGCTCACCCTAAAAGAGAGGGGAAAAAATTACACCAAAAACCACACACTCACTGCTTTTAGTAACATAAAAATACAAATCTCATTAAGTATAAGGTAGATTATAAATAGATAAGTTCCAGGTGGAGCTTCCAATGTGTAATTTCCCTTAATTGCTTCATATTTATCAACATAAACTATATATTCATAATCACATGAATTAATGAATTTTTAAATAATTCACCTCTCACTGTGTTATTGGAAGCAAATTTTATTTAAGAAGAACGTAAAAATTATTTCTAACTCCATAAAACAAAATCCTTCTTGAGAAACTAACAGTCACTTGGTTAATCAAAAAATGCCTCACCTTTCAAGAAACCCCAAGGTTCATTACCATTTCCACAATAGAAATCAGTATGCTCTGTGGTGAACCAGATGAATACAGTTCACATCCTTAATCTCAATCTTTTAGGGTCATTTTAATATTATCTTCACATTTATTCCTAGATCTCCTAACTGGTTTCTTGCCTTCAGGCTTTCCAACTAATATGTTGTAAATTTAAATTCCCACTTCCCTGTGCTGGAGGGTTTACTGAGGTAATGGAAGAAATTCCTAATTTTTTCAGTTTCTGCTAGATATAAATATTATTTTTTTACACATATAAGAAAATTTCACACCAATATTAAAAATAGGATACTCATGTTCAGGAGCACAGGGATATCAGTGATGTAAATACTTACACACCTATCACAATCCCAAAGCTCATAGGCAGGCACCCATGACAGTACACACACACATGTAATGAACAGCTTTCACTTCACTCTCATTATGGATGAAAGTCTGACACTTTCTATACAACTTATCATGTCAAGGTTAGATATTAATGTAAATACTGACATGTCTATCACTATCCCACTGTACACAGGTATACATGACAATATTTCATACACATGCAATAAGCAGTTTTCAGTTGACTGTCTTTATGAACGAAAGGCTTAAACACTTATTTATCTACAAATGGCTACTCAAAAAATTTAAACCATTTGCTCGAATTCTGTATGCATAATGACCTCTGTCCTAAAGTCTTCTGACCATATATAAGTGACTATTCTGCATTTTCAATCTGTGTCACTGACAAGACCTAGTGCCACATTCTCCAAAAAATGTAAAGCCTAAATTGTATGTACTTATATTCATTGCAAAATGTAAACATTTACAAGGACAAGGTTAAAGAGGTGGAGGAATTTCTTCCAGTGCTTCACTGTGTTTCCTTGAAATGATTTATAAGCCACCTTCTGATCTGATTTATCCATACTGATATTGTTTATAGTCTTCCATTACTGCCAGAGGTTTGCTTTTCTCATGGGCTCCTTTATCCTTTAGATGCTGGTGCATCATCCATCCTGTAATCATGATATGAATTCCATGGCTGTTACTTTCTGTGATGTTCTATATTTCATCCTTTACCCTCTCAGGTCCTGGTTGAAGAAGAGGAATTTCCTTATCTTCCTCACTGCTGAGTGATAAGTTGGGGCATTCTTTTACCAACCAACACTTAAAAAATGTATAACTTCTTTCTTATTGAACACAACTGCATGAAACTTTCATAGATCATTCTATACCCTTGGAAAATGTGTTCATTGCTGTTGGCAATGTTGAACTGAGTAACAAGATGGTGTCATATCTTGGGCTTAACAGGCCTTGCTTGATGAGAAGGGATCTCACACACACAGTGAAGAAGTCCTCAGACCACCATAAAGCACTGGTAGTTGATGTACTTTGTCTTATTCATCACACTGCACATTTACTTTACAACAGCAGTTCTACAACCACTACTATACTTTGCCACACGTTGTATACAAACTTGGATGGCCACAGCACTAGGTAGCGATGGACAGTCTTCCAGCCTAATTGATGAGTAGGGCCCGGATTTCTATGACATGTCATATTTTTTTCCTATGGTTTATTCCTATTTTTAAATGTAATTATGCATGTTTCCAGTCATTCTTATTGAAATTATGTCCTTTTTATTGTGCATATAAATGCATATTTTGGAGTTTTATTGGTTTAACAGCATATTTTGCCATAATTTTGAAATAAGGTCATAATTTTGTCATTTTAGAAACAATTCTTTGATATAATGTAAAATTTCGGCTCCATAATGTTTAGTATTACAAAATAAATTTCAGGCTGGATGTTGCTTCAATGTGGAATAGAGTTCAAGTACGTGAAGTTCGTATTAAAAACCATATTTTTGACTGGACTGTACTTGCAGTTACAAAGGCGAAAATTTGTGAAATGCAGCATTTATGACCTGGCAAGCCAGCCTTTCCCAGTCGAGGCAGGAGGGAGGCAAGTGTAACAGGTATTCTCCTATTGTACTCCGTCTTACTATAAGGTATATACATCCCATTCTTTCTTGGAGGGCTTAGAAGTATTCTATTTATATATGTGGAGGGCGTTATAAGACTTCAGTTTGACTTTACAATGCCTAAAGTGAGTACATGTAGTTCAAGGAGCGCAAAGTTGCGTAGTTTTGTACAGGAGTTTGGTGAAAAAGTGTTTAGTACCGATGGCAAGATATTTTATTGTAAGTTGTGTGGCGTGAAAGTTACGGCAGAAAAGCGATTTACTGTGCAGCAGCATTGTAAAACTTTTAAACATGGTAAATGTTTAAGCAGATTATCTACAAAGGATAGCAGACAAAGTTTGTTGTTTAAAAACAGTTCCACTAATTCTTCTTCTTCTTCTTCTTCTCCTTCTTCTTCTTCTTCTTCTCCTTCTTCAACGAACAATGGGTCGGAATTTTCGAAGGATTTGTGTCAGTGGATGGTATCTTCGAATATTCCATTAGAGAAATTGCATAATCAGCACTTCAGACAATTTTTGGAGACATACACTAGTCATCCTATCCCAAGTGAATCGACGTTAAGAAAGAATTATCTCTCTACATGTTATGAAGATATGTTAAATAAGATTCGAACATCTGTTGCTGACAACAAGATATGGGTTTCCTTGGACGAGACTTCTGACGTAGATGGGCGGTATATTGCGAATGTTATAGTTGGGACCCTGAAACAAGATCAACCTGGAGAGAGATTTCTTCTTGACTGTGAAGTTCTCGAAAGAGCAAATCATTCGACTATAGCTGTCCTATTTGATAATTCCATGAAGTTGTTGTGGCCAAATGGAATACAGCGAAATAATGTCCTTCTCCTAGTAACAGATGCCGCTCCATACATGAAGAAGGCTGCCAAAGGACTTCGAATCCTCTACCCGAAAATGGTCCATATTACTTGCCTCGCTCATGCATTGCATAGAGTGGCTGAAGAAGTTCGAGGACATTTTCCTGATGTAGATAGGCTAGTTTCAAACGGAAAGAAAATATTCATCAAGGCCCCTCTTCGAGTGCAGAAATTTAAACAAGAAGCTCCTCTACTGCCACTTCCTCCACAGCCTGTCGTCACACGGTGGGGTACATGGTTGGATGCTGTGGCATATTATTGTGAAAATTACACAGCCATTGAGAAAATGTTTAATGGCTTTGACAGCAGTGAGTCAACATCAATTAAAGCTGTCAAGGACTTATTCTCTACCACTCTAGCACAAAATCTGGCATACATAAAGTCAAACTTCTGTTCAATTTCAGGTGCAATAACTCGCCTGGAATTTGTAGGGACTGAACTCTGTGACGCGTTGGACACTGTAAAGAGCATTGAGAATGAACTAAACCGAACTCGTGGTGAAATAAGTGACAGGATTAAAACCAAAATAGAAAGTGTTCTTCATCGGAATGCTGGTTATTCAACATTATGCAAGATTGCAGATATACTTTCCGGTAAACTAGCAACATTCGAAGATGATACAGAACTGTCACCAAACGACTTGACATTCTTCAAATATGCTCCTGTCACATCATGTGATGTGGAACGAAGTTTTTCCAAATACAAAACTATCCTTAGTGATAATCGGCGATCTTTCAAATTTGAAAATTTGAAAATGCATGTAGTTATAAATTGCAATTGTAACAGTGAAAATTGAGACGTGAATAACTCAGTGAAAATTGAGACGTGAATAGCTTGTGTTCTTTTAAATGGTGTTTTTAGATAACAGAGTTAAGTTAGTGTTCATACCATGTGCACCAGTGTTTGTCTAAAATATGAACGCAAATATCAGTATTAAAAAGAAAACAATGAATGGTTTAATCCAGTACGAAATGTCGAAATTCCATCAGTTTTCTTTCCTTCAGAGACATAATAGGGCTAATTTGGTAAGTAGGACCTACTATCATATATTCATCATCTTTATTCTTAAACTCTAGTAAAAGTTGTAATTAAAATTGTGAAATTTTATGTCCCATTTAATATTTAAGGTCATATTTTACACTTTTTAGGTCATATTTGACATAATTTTGGGTCATAAGTGCATGCATATATTTAGAGTTTTTAGGTCATAAAAATCCGGGCCCTATTGATGAGCGTTAATTCTACATTACTTGCGTGCATCTCGTAATCTCTACTTTTCTACTCTACTACTATCTGTCTTGTCTACTTGTCATCCGGGGATCAAACCCTTTAAATACTAAAGGATGATGCAATGTCCTGGAATCTTCCCCTTCGAGAATGTTCTCGAACTCTCTCAATGCATGACGTAATGCTCTGGAACCTTCCAGATCCTTTTCAAAGCTTCTTGTAATTATTTTTCTGGTCGAGAGCATTCTGGAAGCTTCCTTTAATTACACTGGCAGTGGGATGAGTAATCATCAGCATACCACATCGACTGTTAAAGAACCTTCTAGTAGCCTCTTTATGTGCATACTGCTCATTGCGAATTCTTAGAACAGTTAATGCAAGACTGGGCATAAGTTACATTTAGTATAAAATTGGTAGTAAGTAACAAACATTGTTGAACGTGAATTGGGTTGGTAGGTAAGTGTTCGGTTACACTTTTCACTGTGGATTTTTAAAGTTCACATTGGAATACTAAAACATAAAATAGCTAATGAATCTTTTGAAAATGTGGCAAAGTTCAAATATTTGGGAATGGCAGCAACAAATAAAATTGTATTCATGAAGAAATTATGAGAAGACTAATTTTTGGGAATGTTTGCCACCATTCAGTTCAGAACCTTCTGTCATCACACCTGCTGCTGAAAACTTAATGATTAAAATACAAAAACTGTAATTTGATATGGGTTTGTACTTCGGCTCTCAAATGAAGGGAAGAAATAATAGGAGGCTCGAGGAAAATTGCATAAAGGAGCTTCAGAACTTATAACCCTTGCCACATATTATTACAATGATCAAGTCAAGGAGGATAAGATGGATAGGACATGTAGCATGCATGGGAGAGAAGAGGAATGCTTTCAGTGTGTTTTAATGGGAAAACATTAAGGAAAGAGGCCATTAGGAAGACCTAAATGTAGAAGGGTTATATTAAAATAAATCTTAGTGTAAAAGGGTGGCAAATGTGGACTGGACTGATCTAACTCTGGTCAGAGACCAGTGGCAGGCTCTTGTTAACACAGTAATCAACTTTTGAGTTCCACAAAATGGTGGGAATTTCTTGTATGGCTGAGAACTATTGGCTTCTCAACAAGGGCTCAACTCCACGGAGTTAGTTATTGGAATACTATTGCTGTTAGTTTCTTAGTGAAGCAACTGAGCACATGCAGCAGAAGTATTGCACACATCAGATTTAAAGTGTTACATGTACCAAGCAAGAAGTTTTCAAAAGAATTAACCACGTACTTTCTTTTCACTGATACAAGTGGGACCAAACGTTATTATGTATGAATAAGTAGGTCAATATAACAATAACACATCAAGTAATATTAACTAGTTAAGTGGTTAAGATGTCTTAACACGTCATGTGGTACTCTTCATTGTAGTGGGTATGATGTCTCTACAAACGTTTCCAACTACACCATTGTTGATATGACAGTCAGCTTGATAGCTGTCCTGGGTTCAAGTTTTTGTGAGTAAACATTATGGCAGGTCCTAGCAAAAAGATGTGCATGAATGACGAGGTGTTATATGAGCTGTTGCAAGAGAATGAATACAATGAAATTTCTGAGAGCAGATGTAGTAGTGACAGTGAAATAAATGTGAATATTTCATCATGTAGTGAACAGAGTATACGCTCTGATGAAGAAGAAAATGTCACTGACAACAGTAGCATGCAGCATGTCATACGGGCAAAGTCAGGTGCTGAGCGACCATGTTTTCCATTTACTGGCAAACCTGTCATAAATGTTGATTTAGAAGGACCCAGTACCCCCTGGAATATTCTGAGTTGTTTTGTACACCAGAAATTGTGGAAATCAGCATGCAAATAAATTTTTAGGCAACATACCTAATCTAAAACTAAGATCTAGGACCCATCACTGGAAGAAGAAAAAGAGAAATGAAATAGTGACGTTGCTGGCATTCTTTCTCTTACAAGGACTTCAATAGAAAAATGATAAAAAGAGCTATTTTCCCAGAGGAAAATTGTGAAAACACCTTTATTTTTGGACCTGTTCAGTGAGAGGAGGTTTCACCTTCTGCTGAAGTTTCTTCATTTTGTTGATAACGAAAATAGTCACATCATGAAACAAGGTACAATGGGGAAAACTGTAACATTTCCAACATTACCATATGGTGGCAGACTTCTAGAGATGAGGAAGAGGATCAAGGTTCAACAAGTGGCTGAAGTGTCTGAATGTAAGATTTTAGTGGCTAGAAGGTGTACTATGGGCTGGTACTGAAAACTACACCATAATTATAAAGACCTTCACAGTGTGTGTCACTTGAGTTGCAACAATGTTTCTGGTGATATAATCGTTTTAGTGATGATTTCATAGTCCGTACAAGATAATGCTTTTGCAGTTGATGTTTGGAAGAACAAACAGTTTTGCTGCATGGTTCATTCATCCACAATAGCCGTGAGCTTGCAAAGGAAGTACAAATTCAGCCCATACGGCAATAAGAAACATCTTTTATCAATGAGGCAGTCAGAGCTACAGTAGGTCATACAGAAATATAGCAATAATCAAACAAGCGAGTATGTGTTTAGGCTGGAGGTGGTTTTGTCAGTCAGCTTCTATGATCATGTTTCTCTCTAAACACCAAACACCAGCCAGGACTGCATATACAGAATGTGCATGAGTCAGACATGACTTTGTGATCATGTATTGGGAACTTAAATGCATGTCAGCAGCAACAGTGGTGTACTTTTTGAGAATAAAGCCAAAAGTACGAAATGTTACTACAAAATATAAACTTTACCGTAAAAGATACATAAATGAACATACAGATATAAGAACTCTGTTAACTGGCCTTTCAGACACTTTTTGTTACATAATTTTATAAGGATACATGGCCGAGATACTGCATTTTAAAAGGGAGCAACAATTATAAAAATTAAACACTGCAGTAAAAAATATAAATATTTGGGGAATTTTAATGTACAACTGCAGGGCAGATAAGAACACATAAAATATACCACTTAACTGGTTAAAAGTATTACCTCAACACCCTGAGACTACAGTGTTGGTATTACTGATGAGAGGGATTTACTTGTATGCTAGTGAGGTGGTTTCAGGTGGAATAACATATATTCCCAGTTTCATGAAGATCAGTTCGGACATTCAAGTAATATTAAGGTTATTACAGCAATAATTTGAGAGACTGTGATGCTGTATTAGGGACAGGAGGGATTTATGAAGTACGTCACTGAGATGGATTCAGGTGGCATGATTATACACACCAAGCTTCATGAAGATTGGTACAGGCATTCAGGAACATTAAAGTTTTGCTTCAACAGTATGAGAGGCTACAAAGTTCATACTATTAATGGGAGGGATCTATGAAGTACGTCATTCAGATACATTCAGGTGGCATGATATACACACCAAGTTTCATAATGACTGGTTCACGCATTGATATAATATTAAGGTCATTACCTCAACAATTTGAGAGTATGCAATGGTGGTTTTGCTGATGGGAGGGATTTATGAAATATGACACTGAGATGGCTTCATGTGGCATGATATACACATCAAGTTTCATGAACACTGGTGGAGCCGTTCAAGTAATATTAATGTTTTGCTTCAGCAATTTGAGACAGTAATGTTGGTATTACTGATGGGAGAATTTGTGATATATGCCAATGAGNGTCACTGAGATGGATTCAGGTGGCATGATTATACACACCAAGCTTCATGAAGATTGGTACAGGCATTCAGGAACATTAAAGTTTTGCTTCAACAGTATGAGAGGCTACAAAGTTCATACTATTAATGGGAGGGATCTATGAAGTACGTCATTCAGATACATTCAGGTGGCATGATATACACACCAAGTTTCATAATGACTGGTTCACGCATTGATATAATATTAAGGTCATTACCTCAACAATTTGAGAGTATGCAATGGTGGTTTTGCTGATGGGAGGGATTTATGAAATATGACACTGAGATGGATTTATGTGGCATGCCATGAGTCTAATTTTTAATGTATAAAATGTTCCTCAAAAAATCTTTAGGTATCACTATATTTATGATCAATTTCATACCAAATTTCACATGCTGAAATGCAATGATATGCCAATCACTGCTTTTAAACAAAAAGCTACATATAGATTTTGTACAACCATCATGTTTTTTATTTATATTCTATAGAGCAGTGGAAGTCTAGCAGTAGCCAAGTTCAGCTGTAAGAGTGTGGATTGTGAAGGCGCTGAGTTCAGCTGTAGGAGTGTGAATTGTGAAGCCAGGCAGAAGACAGTGGAAGTCCAGCAGACGCCGAGGGCAGTGGAAGTCTAGCAGTTGCCGAGTTCAGTTGTATCAAGTGAATCGAGACAGTGTTCAGTGTTAGTTGAAATATAGCAGCAGTCGCAGGAAGAAGAACCGAATGCGTGGTAATCAGTGATAGTGTGCAGTAACTGAGAAGTCAGCTACGGAAGACTTATTGTGCGACTTCAAGACTCTGTGTGCTGTAGTACAGTTATATTGGGAGTGTGTAATTCAGAGAGACTTGTATAGCTCCCGCATTATAAATACGTGAAGACTACTGAAGGTAGTGTGTGTAGGGTTTGTAAATTGTCTAAACCCGCAACAGTGTTATAATCAATTGTAGTTACGACTTGTAGGGTGTTAAATAAACCAATTAAAATTTGAAAGGTGTATTCAGTGGCCAGATACGTTACAGTACTTTAACAGGAGTTGCATGTTTTGATATTAATGACTGAAGGAAACCTTTAAAGAATCAAAGTTCAGGGGAGACTAATCACCTACTTTCCACGAGAAACTGTAATGTTGGCGTTACTGATGGGAGAGATTTATGAATTACACTGTTGAGATGGGCTCAGGTGCTACAATATATGTACCAAGTTTCATGAGATCAGCTAAAGCATTCAGAAGTTTTTTTTGGGGGGGGATACACATACAGAGACACAGACAGCAAGATAATTTTTATTTTTTCAAATTAAGGAAAGTAAGCTAAAAATGTGAGGTGTTCTCAAATGTCACAATCTCCGTATCATATTCCATGAAAATCTGTCAATTGGTTCAAAAGTTAATAGGGGGACAACACACCATACTCATAGATATCAAGATACTTTCCTTATGAAAAATGGATGCAAGCTAAAGGAGCAAAGTTGATGTTCTCACCCTTTCAACTGAAAAGCTCTGGCAAGAAAAATATACCTTGACAGTCATTCTTGTATATAATTTCCACTAGTAACTGCTTATGCAGTTAAATATATATAAACATACCTCTGTGTCTTTTTTTTCAAATTCTGGTCCAACACCCCATACTTCCACATGGTCTACCTCAAAATGTTTTGTGGCAGATAACATTTTGTAGTTCCTGTATGTAGTACATGTTTCACTGCAGTGACCTTTTCCAAACTCTGCATCAAGCCATATTCCAAAATATTCAAACTGCCCACCCATTCCCTGCAACATAAATATAAGATCTGACAGCACATGGCACAGCGTACATAAGGACATATGCAAACCCACACACAAAGGTACAAGGTGAACAGTCTTGAGTGCTGTAGATCTGATGGGTAATTTTCTACACAGCAGCAGAGGCCTCCAACATATTGTGGCATGGAGACCCATTGCTAGATAACGACCATGAAATAAGCAACTATACAACAGACATTGTTAGGTAACAGCTCTGCCAACAGACATGAACACAACAATTCCACAGCAACAAGAGGATACAACAATATTGGGAAGCAGTTTTTTCTATGCAGTCCATGTCAAGATATTATAAGCAGGACAAGTCAGGTGCTAAAGTTAGTGAAGAACTGGTTTATGTCCATGGTTTATGCTGACCGTCTTACAGTGTATACACTTTTTCACCTTATTCTTCACTTCCACACTACATGTTTCAGCACTAATGTGCCATCTTCAGGTGTCTTTATGCACATTAAACTATTGTACTGCATGCCATAATGTCTTCATTCTAAAATGACTAAAATCTGTATTCGTCATATATGACGATGAATTCTAAATAATAAAACTTTTCAGGATTCTTCCTACATCGCACTCAAAACGTGAATTACGCCAATACTCTTTCATGTGAGCATTCTTCCTACATATATTTGTGTATCTGTAATATGAAATTGTTATTCATTAATAACACTATGTAACAGGACGCTAAAATATAACATTGTTAATAGAAGACGAAAGAGTTGGTTGTTGAGTTAGTGAGAAAAGGTGAAGAAAAAAAGGGTAAAGTTGTCCCTGTCCTCAAGTAATTAAGCACTATGCCATGAAGGAATATAGGGGAGTTTTCTTGACCTCGGCACCAGTTGGAGGTGGGTGGTCAGCTTCAGGCCCCGGCCACTTTACCCTAGGGGAAAGAGCCCCCATTACCCATTGGATTGGTGGCTGGGTGGGCTTCAGAGTCGGCCTGGATGATGTGGAGAAGATAAAATTCTTAATCCTACTGAGACTCAAACTCCAAACCCGTTGAGATAGGGAGTTGGTTAGGAAAACCACAGTTCAGTCGTCATGAGCTGCTGCTGTAAGAACCTGGTAGGTAAGGCCAGTGGTAGTTCAGTTCAAGAAGGGGAAATTCCACCGCTGCAAGCTGCTATCAAACAACAATTAGTGGTGACTGTAACAGACTGAGAACACTAGTCCATGTGCGACAGTAATTTGTAAAGTGTAGTCACAAGATGAATTAAATAAATCTGATTACCAGTCCCAAACCCTCTAGCCATAAAGGATGGATGGTCCAGAAGAGACGATGGAAGAGCCTGGAAGGCAACAACAAAACAAACAAAGGAGAGGACATCTGGCATGATATTCTGGAGGACTGTTCAGCTGGATATCAAAATGGGAATAGTCGGGGTTTTGACTGGGCTGCAAACAGTAAGTGACTGGACATTGTGGAGTGGTCAGCCCCTATGCAACAAAAGAAGAAATGTCAAAACCACAGACTGCAAGAAGGAAGATAATGGTGGTACACCTGTACCAGCTCGCACCTTATAAGGGAACTGCTCAGGACAAGGAGCCTTAAGGAGAGAGCAGCGTGAGCAATGGGAGAGTAATCACTGCAAGAATCAAGCAAAAGGAAGGCAGGCGAGGCGTACGTCACAAGCAGAGCCCTCTGAAAAGAAGAAACGGCATTAAGCCTACAGGCTATCCAGGAAAAAAAAAGTCTTAAGAAGACAGCTATGTGGCATGTAGTCCCATTGCTAGGAAACGACCCTGAAATAAGCAACCATATAACAGCTGTTGCTAAGAAATGGCTCTGCAAATAACGGCCGTTGATAGGCAATGGCTGAGTAGCTATCATGTGGGCACCCCAACAGACACTTAACACAACAACTGCACAGCAACAGAGGAATGGTGTTTTCTGTGTGGTCTTTGTCAAGATGTTATAAGCAGGACAAGTGAGGAGTCAGTTTCTTTTTTATTGCTAGTGGGGTGGGACTAAGTCCCTTGTACTGCGGCCACTTCTGGCCTATTGTACCAGCCCCAGATGATAGGTGAGGATGATTGTGGAGCAATTGGTGGAATGAAGATTGGCAGGGGAAGCCAAAGTACCTGGAGAAAACCTGCCTCAGTGCCACTTTGTCCACCACAAATCCCACTTGACCAGACCTAGGATCGAACCCGGGCCGCCACGGTGGGAAGCCGGCGACTAACCGCTTGAGCTATGGTGTGGCCCTACCTATGGTGGTAACAGAAAATAAAGAAATTCCACAGTCTCAAGTTCTTCAACAACCTGAGGGACATCAACAAACAACTCAAATGACAAAGACCTTTGTTGGAACACAATGACACCACTGTACACCTCCTGACTCGGTGGACTAAAATGAATGAACAAAGGTGCATGGAAACCCAACAATATTCAGAATTACATACCACAATAAGGAACTCCCATACAGTTTATACAAAATGTGAATATTCAGAACCAATATTAACAAAGGACAACTGTATATCTAAGGATTATTAGGCATTAATATACACTGCTAATCATATGATCTATACATTGTTACTATTTTCTGTTGTCCTCAAACAATACACTTACTAAACCATTAGGCAGTGTTTGCTGCTGAACACTGAGGTACTGGTAGTGACTGTTATAACCCGTTGACTCAAAGACCCTCATCTCTGGATACAGACTGAACAAGAAACTTTTTTCATCTCCTGTAATGAACAAAAAAAAAATATTATACAAATATTCAAAGTAAATTTAAAAAACATTTTTTTAAGAAATTAACCTTAAGGAAATAACTCTGAGGTATAAAGAGCACATGAATTGTCAGTCATACAAAAAAATGACCTGACCAAAGTATCATGGGAATTATTTCCCCTTCAAATTCAAGCCAATTTCAATCTCACTTATATAAGATGAAGTGTACAAATTACAGCATTCCTCTGAAACTGTTGATATTCTGAGTTTCTGATCCTGGACTTTGTTTATGCTACATACTGCTCATTCCTTCCACAGCCTTTCCAATTCATTATTCACTTGACAATAACGGTCTGACCTATTGACATGTCACTGAATAAATAAATATAAGTGGGGCAATCCAAAAGTTACCGAAATCTGAATTTTGCGCGCGAATGGTTATGAGTACATCGAAATACGTCTACGTCTCCCCTCACACATCCTTCTTGAATCAGTGTGGCAAGCGGCGTCGAGTTGAGTGGTTGGGTTTATTGTTGGTGAACGTATTTCCATTGTTGTGTTTCCGTGAGTTTGCGGTTTTGCGATGGCTGACCTGAGAGAGCAGCGTGTCTGTACAAAGTTTTGTTTCAAACTTGGGAAAACTGCTGCAGAAACGCACCAAATGTTGAAGCAAGCTTTTGATTAAAACAGTTTAGGCCAGACACAAACTTACAACTGGTATAAGCGTTTCTAAAATGGCCGAACATTGACTGATGATGACGATCGTTCGGGATGGCCGTCAATGGGCAAAACACCAGAAAATATCGCGAAAGTTAGGGATCTGATTCTGCAAGATCGTAGACTGACCATTCAAGACCTCTGTAACACCTTGGAACTAAGTTATGGTACATGTCAACGAATTTTGTCAGAGGAACTGAACATGAGGATTGCGGCAAAGTTTGTGCAATGACTGCTGCAAAATGAACAAAAGCAGCATCGCTTGGAAGTCTGCAGGGAACTTCAGCAAGAGCTTCAAGAGGATCCAAACTTTCTTTCGAAGGTTGTCACTGGTGACGAAAGTTGGGTTTATGGCTACGACCTTGAAAGCAAGCCGCAATCGTCGCAATGGAAGAGCCCTTCTTCACCTCGGCCAAAAAAAGCTCGACAAGTCAAGAGCAACATTAAGTCCATGTTGATTTGTTTCTTTTATATTGACGGGATTGTTCATAAGGAGTTCGTCCCTCCTGGTCAGACAGTCAATAAAGAGTTCTATCGCGATGTTCTAAGGCGTTTGATGGAGGACGTGAGGAGAAAACGTCCAGAGAAGTGGCGCACGAACGACTGGGTACTCCACCATGACAACGCACGACTGCATACGGTTTACATTGTGCAGGAATTTTTGACTAAAAACAAGATGGCAGTTGTTCCCCACCTACTGTACTCACCAGACTTAGCTCCATGCAACGTCTTTCTCTTCCCCAAGATGAAAATCAAGTTGAAGGGGTGAAGATTTGATACAGTTGAGGAAATTCAAGCGGAAACGCAGACGGTACTAAACACCCTAACAAAGAAAGACTTCCAGGATGCATTTGAAAAGTGGCAGAAACGCTGGGTTCGGTGTATGCGCTCCCAAGAGGACTACTTTGAAGGTGATGGTGCAGAATAAGATCTAGGTAAGATGTAATAGTTTTTATTAATATATTTCGGGAACTTTTGGATTGTACCACGCAAAAAGGGAAGAGAAAGCTGAAATTACAATTCTGCTTATTGGGAAGTACATCACAAGAAGGGTCTAAATTTTTTTGTGGTTTATTTTACAGTAATGCCAGTCTCTAGACCATGTAGTGTCAGATGGTAGGATGACTTGTCAATAATGTAATTGAAAGAATTTTGAAGAATGTGGTCATGCCTTGACTGAGGTACAAAACTGGAATTTGTATTGAGGGACTGTGGAACACCACAAAAAACTTCAGTCGGGACAGCTGGTTTTCCCACTGAGATTAAAACTGAGCACCTCCTGAATGCAAGTCTAGAACATTACTGAGAAGGATTCTGAAATGATGGCTGTTTATATTACCTGTTACCTACTTGCGTCATGGAACCTAATTAAGAACTTCATGTTGTGAAAATTACAAAAAATAATCTAATTCATAGTGATGAAAGATACTAATGTTCACAAAATTTAGTATACTCATAAAGATCATATCATTTCATTTTACCTTGATACAGTACATTTTAAATACTCTGCTACCAATGTTAAAATTGTATAAACAACAGAAGAAAGACATATTAGAAGCAAGCTATGACACTGACTTTTGGCTTTGCATGAAATTACACACCACAAGAAACAGATAATTTTATACCTCTAATAAACCTCTTATCTTCTCGTTTGCTGTCAAAAAACATAAAAATTAGAATATACAAAACTATAATTTTGCCTGTGGTTCTGTATGGGTATGAAACTTGGTCTCTGACATTATGGGAGGAACATAGACTGAGGATGTTCGAGAACAGGGTGTTGAGAATATTTGGACCGAAGAGAGATGAAGTGACAGGGGTTGGAAAAAACTGCATAATGAGGAGCTTCATAACTTGAACTCTTCTCCAAGTATAATTAGAATGATCAAGTCAAGGAGGATGAGGTGAGCAGGGCATGTAGCACGAATGGGGGAGACAAGGAATGGGTATAGGATATTGGTGGGAAAGCCAGAAGGAAAGAGACCACTGGGAAGACCAAGGCGTAGGTGGGTGGACAATATTAAAACTGATCTTAGAGATGGGATGGGATGGTGTGGATTCGATTGATCTGGCTAAGGATAGGGACCAGTGGAGGGTTCTTGTGAACATGGTGATGAACCTTAGGGTTCCATAAAATTCTGGGAAATTCTTGAGTAGCTGCAGAATTGGCGGCTCCTCCAGAAGGGCTCAGCTCCATGAGTAAGTAATAAACCTTCATACACAGGAAATTTGGTACAGGAGGAAATCAAAACCTATTTTGCATGAAATACTTTCTGCACTTTAAAAATCATATCTTGACATAAAGCTCCACACATTCTTAATGTCAGTATTAGACAAAGATGGACAGTTTCGCCCTCCAGTTGCTTAGCCATGGGCAATGCCTTCCTGGTACAATGTGAAAGCCAGCAGGCTGCCAAGCAGGTCTAGATAGTGTGTAGGAAAGTACAGACATAACCTGTTCAAAGCCAAGAGTGTGAAGAAACAAACTAGTCTTCACGAATTCGGTACTGCCACAAAAAAATTCTTCTAGAATAGGAATATCTCTGGTTTATTTAACAAATTTTCTTGGGTGTAGTACCAAATGGATGGATGATTGCAAATGACAAATTGGGAAGGAAGTGAAAGAAATGGCCCTGGCCTATTATAAGGTACCATACAAGCATCTGTCTGGAGTGACTGAGAAAAATCACAAAAAATTTCAGAATTGACACCTTCTGAATATGAAGCAAGGGGGCTAACCATTGAACTATAACAGACAGTCTATAAAGGGAACCAAACTGTACGATTAGGACTATGTGTGGATGTTCATACTAGTCGAAATGCCATCTGCTAGAAGGTCAAATAAATTAATGAGTGATTCAACTGAGGCATATTTTGTATAGAGACGTACATCATTCTGTGATGTTACTATATGATAATGTACACACACATTAGTGTAACACCCATTGAAAATTCAGGAAGTCTGCACTTATTGTATGCTAATGCCCTCTGCTTTCTCCTGTATTCCTTTACAGTACCATACATTATCAAATGACACATCAAGGTCAACATTTACACCATCTTCTACACATAACACATACAAATAGTCACTTATAAACTGCCTCCCTTACACAGTACACTATACTTCAGATATGTACCTCAAAATTTTACCACCATTTACAGAATAGATATGATACACAGAAACAGAAGATTGNAGCAAAGTCTGTCAGATTCAGATTTTGACACTGAGAATGAGTTAGACCAGTGGTTCTCAAACTTTTTACCTCTGAGCCCCCCCTGAGAAGAGAAAATACTCTCAGGCTCCCAGCCTGTTTTTTTTTATCAAAATAGAAGTCATGGTATGTTTGACATTCCATTCAGTTTATTTTGTGTTTTTCTATATACTGTTTAGCAGTTTTCTTATTCAAAATTAAAGTATCACAATACTAGGCCTACAATAACACTTGCAATTAACCAAAATATGTATTGAAATGAAACGATATTTAACTAACAAGTATTTAATTTTTTCCTGCAAAGAAAATCAAACATTTAAATGTCAGAGTTCAGTGTGATGGATGGGTCTGCTTTTGAGAACAAAGTTTATCAAAATGTGGCGTAATATCAGAAATGGCCACCCTGACTTCTTTAGCAATATTTAGCCTTGAACGATACTTTGACTTTATAGCTGCCAAAGCAGAAAAGCCTGTCTCGCATAAGTAAGTTGTTGTGAAAGGAATCAGGATTTTTAATGCTTTT